TTTTTTGGTTTAAAATCTATTTGTAAATGGTTATGTTTTTTCTTGTCATCTAGCCATTTGTTTGTTGGTTATGTACAAAACAATATTTTCATGCATCAAAATTACGTATGCATATGAAAGAAAAACATAACCATTTAGAAATAGATTTTAAACCAAAAAAAAATGTATTAGAAGAAGGTATTGAATATGAAATAACAATTGTTAATCAACAAATAAAAGAAATTTTATCTGATGAACAAACAACAAAAATTTTTTATGAACCAATAATTAATTCAGATGATAATGAAACACATATAATCGATGAAAATATTGGAAATTATCAATTATTAAATGAATTAAATGTTAATGATATTGAAACATTTGTTAAATCAAATCCATTTGTTTTATCAGATACTGATTTAAGAACTTGTAGTCAGCCACATCATCAAAATCATTTTGATGATTTTAAATTAATCGACTTTCCGGTTATGTAGAAAAAACAAAACAATAGAAATAAAAAAAAGTTTTGTTTTGTACGATTTATAGTTTATGTTCAATTGAACGAATCAATCAATTTGTTTTTCTTTTTCATCTTCGAAGTGATAATCTGCGTCTAAGCTCATATTTTGCTAATTGGCAAGATTCAGTCTAGACAAAAAAACTCTTAAAAAAGATTCGTATCATCGAATCTTTCTTCTTGAGTTATGTTTATTCAATTGAACTTTCAGTCTATAAAGAAAGTAAGGTTCATGAGATTTATTATTGAGTGAAGTTTCTCACGAAAATTCCTTGTTGCCGTTGTTTTCATAATATCCTATTAAAGGCTAAAAATTTAGTAAAATGAACATAAGTTGAGAAGAAAAGTCTGATGGCACGATCTCTTTTAGGATCTTTTATCTATACTATGGGTCCTACGGAGTTGTCATGGCTGACGAGAGAACCTTCTCAGATGTTAGTTTCTGATTTCCATGTTTTTTTTCTCCAACGATATTACATAGCGTTCTAATAAATACCCTAAAAGTATTTGACTTCCTATTGAGATTTGACTAAGGCATTGAATTATTAACATACTTATTTTCTAGAGACCCTCTAGTTTTCGAAAAGCTGATATTTTCGAATTTTGATCTGAATCTTTGTGCTTATACATATAGACCGTTTTTTCATGGATAGTCTATTTTTTGGAAAGATTCATATTTCAAAGAGACTTTGTTTAAAACGTGTGAATTTCTTTATGGACTCTAGTCTAGTTGAATTCTCTGTATGGGCAAAGTTTTAGATCGAAATTCGAAAATACGAGCATTTCAAAGACTTGGAGTTTCTAGAAAATAGACATACTTAAAATTTGGCAGCTGAGTCAAAATTCAATATAAATACAAATCCCTTTAGAGGTTTTATTAGAATACGATGTAGTGTTCATAGGGAAAAAATCATTGGAATCAAAAAAGAACATCTCGGGAAATTCCTTCGTCAGCGGCTGTGTTGTTCGACACGTATCCACAAGATACTATGTTGAATCCTCAGTATCACCAACCAAGGGATAACCTTGGAATAATCACTAGCAGCTATTTATCTCAGATTATCCGTCTAATAGCATGCTGACTATTTTGTGATATACACCTGCTCTCGAGAGCTCAAACATAAGAGTACAAGAACTCTGCATCAGACTAGCCTTTTGCTCAAAGCTACAGCTAGTAATAATTATAGAGAAGATATAAGGCGTATTGAATCTATCACTAGGTAGTACTTCATACCGAACAACAGAGATATTCTTCTTCCTTCATGATTCGTATTTATGAGCAAAATAAAAGCTCGAACGGAGATTATTAGTTACAAGAGTTTCTTCATTAGACTTTCAGTTCATTAAATGACATTTTGTATTACTGACAATCGACTGAACGAATTGAATAGTGTAATTCTATTTAGTCATATTTTAGAAAAAATGACATAAAAGAAAATGTTAGTAGATTGAAAGTTTTTCTTCGAAGATTTAGTCTTATATAAACGTCTGAAAGAAATTAAAAAACTATCTTTCTGATGCTGATGCTTTCCGGAAGCTTTTTTCTCAGTAGAATAACAGATCGTGTTTTTTTTTTAAATTCAATTTCATCAGTTAAAAGTGATTGTTTTCAGGCCTATTGAACTATGTGGCAAAAAAAAACAACAGTCTGCAATTTCGATTTTAGTTTTGAACAAATAATTTTATTCTCTCCACACACAACATATGACTGATTTTTCAATTCTCATTAATTAAATCAATTGATCTAGTAAATATGACTTGTATAAAACTTTTTCTAGATATGTCTGAATTGACAATTAGTTCTACTAATTGGCTCGCTATATCATTACGAAATGATACTGCTATTGTATTAAATTTAAATGATATACAACAATGGCAATATCTTAAACCTGTAATAAATGATAATCAATCAAAAGAAACTAATCCTACAACAATTAATAATAAACTACAACAACAAGAAAAAACTGAAGATGATGATGATAATATTAATGAATTAAATCGTAATCTAATTAGATTTACACCTGATGGACAAAAATTACTTGTTAATGGACAAAATAAACAAATATATGTTTATATATCATCAAATAATGATAGTAACAAAATATATTGGCAATTACAACGAATAATAACAATAAAAAAACGTGCTTCAGCATTAGATTTAACTAATGAATTTCTCCTTATTGCTGATAAAAGTGGTGATGTTTATAAAACTGATTTATTAATTGATCAAAATGTTGTTCTTACATCAGACGATTGTATTATGGGACATTTATCAATGTTACTTGATATTGCTTTTATTTCGATGAATAACGATCAACAATTTATATTAACAACTGATCGAGATGAAAAAATTCGTTTAAGTCATTATCCAAATGCTTATAATATTCAAGGTTATTGTCTTGGTCATACAGAATTTGTTTTACATGTTAAATTAATTGATCAAAATCATATTCTTTCAGCATCAGGCGATGGTTAGATATTATCTTTTTTTTTTAAATTAAGACAAGATTATTGAGTATACAAGGTACTCAATATAAAATTTTCTTTTAATCCATCAACGTCTGAAACCATTAAATCCAAACTTTAAACTTCCTTTTGAAAAGTTAGTCAATACCGATTTTTTATCACTCGCATAAATTAAAAACTAAAAATAAAGAGCTATTTCAATATATTATAATATCGACTAACTTAAGTTTTATAAGATCAACATAAATAACAAATGTTTTTTTCTTATGAGTCTAATATATACACTTTATAACAATCTATCTCCTGCCGAGATTCAAAATCAGAGAGAGGTTCAAGCTGAGTTTGATACATATTATGCAACGTTTTATTCCCTAGAAAATAGTACCTTCGGGGTGAAACGAAGTTCGCATCTCTCTCCTATATAATGATTTTTCAAAACGAAAACAAAACAATTGTTAGAAGCTTTCATTGCCACGACACGATTGCAAAGTAAAATCATGTGACATTCGGAATCTGCGTTGAAAACTACCTTGAATCAAACATATTTTAGAGACATTTTTTGTTCTGTGAAAAAAATCACCTGTGATCCTTCACCGGTTGATTTTCACAGGAAATAAATTTCTTTGGAATGTATTTAATTCAATGCAGTTTTTGACGATAGTCCTCAATGTCATATTGGTTTTGCTTTACAGCCACATCATGGTAATGAAAGGCACCTAAATTTGTGTTTTTTTTTTCCATTGAAAAATTACTATATAGAAGAGATGACATGTGAACTTCGTTTCACCTCGAACGTACCATTTCGTAGAGGATAAACAGGTGCATAACGTATATCAAAAGTTGATTTTATAAAACTTGATTCAGTCAATATTATATCATATTGAAGTAGCCGATTATTTTTCAATTTTAATTATGAGAGTATTAAAAAATCTGTATTGATTAACTTTTCAAAGAGAAGCTAAGAGTTTGGGTTTCATGGTTTCAAGCATTGATGCATTAAAAAAAAATTTATCAAGTACCTCGTATAGTTCATAGTCTCATGATTCTACTCTTCAATTCTCGTCTTTATTGTCATTTTATTTTAGGTACACTTCGTTTTTGGCATTTACCCGATTGTATACAACTTGATTTATTCGAAACAAAAACATTTATATCATCTACTAAACATTTATTCTATGGTTTATCATCGGATTCTGAAAACAATGAATTACCATTAGATTCGTCATCAATTAATTATTCAATATGGAAAATAGATGTTGCTTCATGTCGTTTAATAAATTCCAATATAACAAATGTTTTTATTGCCTTATCAATGTATGCATATCGAGCACATTCAATATATTTAACAACTTTAGCAAATCTTGAAAAATCAACAAATGAACAATGTCAATTAACATTTCATTCAAAATATGGTACAATTATAGATTATTGTTTTTCATCAAAAGAATCTATCTCAACATCCCAATGTGATTTATATATATTATTTGATAGTAATATTTTACTTAAAATAAATATTATTTCATTATTTTCATATGATAAAAATGAAATATTAGAAAATGATACAACAATAAGTACAATAATAAATACAAAAGAATTTAATTTCATGAATAATATAACTTCAAATGAAATAATATTTAAACAATTATTTAAAATGCGTGGTAAACCTGGTGATAGTTCATATTATAAACGTAAAAATGAACGTATTGAACAACAAGAAGAAAAACGAAGAAAAAAACAAGTATCAAAACAATTTCAAGAAAAAGTAGCAATTAATGAAAATGTTTAAAGTCAAAATCAACATGCTATGCTAATAAAGGAACTAGCCCAAATTATAACCTCTGTTTGAACTCATTTTAGACCTACAAGCAGGTTGCAGTTAGATTAGAAAAAAGCATAAAATAGCTCATCCCTCGACAGCCGAGTTATGGTTGTTTTACTTAATTTTCGACTCATTTTTAAGTATTCAATGAAAACTCAATGATTTTCCTCTTTTTTTTTTGACGCAAAACTCGATTTTGAGCTGGGCAATTCGATAGTAATCATACAGAAATTCTTTTCTTTTACTTAGTGTAATGCAAAACATAAGTTTTCTCAATCCTAACTGCTTACGACCTCTTTCTAACTTTGTCGGATTGGATTGTATTTTCTACCCCAATGCCTTCGAAGTATATTCCAGAAGTATAGTCAGCCGTTTTCTTTTTCAACTTTCCTATCTGGAACAATATAGTTCTGAGAGTCAACACTTCGATTTTGCCTACGAACTTTTTATGTATTTCTCTCATTAAGAAGTATCTTCAGAAAAACTCTCAGCTGAATTGACTTAAGTTTGATAAGACCAAGATACTCTATCTATGATAAAAATTTCAATCTGATCAGTTGTTCATGCTTCGAGAATCTCAAATGATCAAAAAAGACGGAAGTACTCTTAAGTAAAAGAATGTCGAGGTGAAATTTTTGCTCATAGATAACTCTAATTATCCTTCGAATATCCTAAAGTTCAGTTGAAAAGAATACTCCTTTGTCAAGATATTGAATTTCCAAAAAAACTACTCGTTTGCAAAAGACATGTCACTGAAATCGAGTTTACTTGAAAATTCAATATCTCAAGTTTTGACTGAAATTTTCACGATATTCTAAAGGTCATTAAACTTATTTATGAGCTAAACTTTAGTAAAACAGCCACAAATAAGTTGCAAAAGCCTTTGCAGCTGAATCCTTATTAGATTATTTTTTTTCTTCTAGTCTTGCCGACACTTCCTTCTTGGTCAAATATGAGTTCAAATAACGGGTTATAATTAAGGTCATGTCCGCGTGACTAGATATTACTGTATTCGTTCGATATAATGTATGTAGAACGTATATAGGTGTTTTTTGAGTGTATTTCTCTTTTTCGTTCTACACGCATCAATATGAAGAAAATACTACTTGTTTTTACCACTTGTTGTTTTTCATTGTTACCTATAAAAACAAAATAAAACATTCTGAAGTTTTTTTGTGATAATTTTTTTCAGATAATGACTTCATCATTGGTTAATAACGCATATCGGCGTGTTCCTTCTTATGTAATTTTATTTCATCGATTAATAATTCATCGAAATACAGCAACAGCTCCATTAGCATCATCTCCGGTGACACCTGAATCATTAAAAAGTCAACAAAAATCACAATCAAAAGAGAATAAAGAATTTGAAAAATCTAAAACAGTTCGTCTTACAACAATATCATCATCGAAAGATCAAGTTATTCAAACTGATGAACAAGCAAGAACATCTAATTCATTTGTTATGAATTTATTTCGTGGTCAATTTTATCCTCATGAAGTATTTCCATATCCTAATGTACTTAATGAAGAACAAAAAGATAATATTAAAATGCTCATTGATCCTATATGGAAATTTTTCGAAGAAAAAAATGATCCAGTAAAAAATGATCAACTTGAAAAAGTATTTATTTCATAAACTCTTTGTTAATTAAAAAGGGCAAAAAAGAATTTTTTTGTTATTCTTATTTTCTTGCAATAGATTCCAGACGAAGTAATGAAAGGTTTAAAAGAACAAGGAGCATTTGGTATTCAAGTTCCTGTTGAATATGGTGGTCTTGGTTTAACAAATACTCAAGCAGCACGTCTTTTTGAAATTGTCAGTGCTCATGATCTTAGTATTTCAATTTGTACTGGTGCACATCAATCAATTGGTTTTAAAGGTATACTTTTATTTGGTACTGATGCTCAAAAACGAAAATATCTACCAAAATTAGCCGCTGGAGAACATATTTCAGCATTTGCACTTACAGAACCAACAGGTAAGAAATTGTAATCAAAATTTAATATTTTATTTTCATTTTCTTCGAAGTATTCGAAATAAAGTTTAAGCAATATTTGTTCTGGTTCACATTTGTATGCATTATTTTCCATTTGTCAATATAAATTTTTGTCAACATAATCTAAATTAATCGATTAACAAACGTACGAGATGACCTCTATCCTATGTTGTATGGACTATTGGAATATCGTTCCTGCTCCTTCTAAGACAGTTGACACATATTCATTGTTCATTTTCTTGTTAGTGCATATCAACATTTTTTACTAGAGTCTATGGTAGATATCTCTCAGTTCCAGTTAACATGGTACTTACGAGGGAGCCTTTTTAACTTGAAAACCGCTTTTGAGTTCGGATCCTATGCATAAGGCAGGCGCCAATGAGTTATTAAAAACCTTAAAAGAACAAAAGATAAGCTATATTTTGACCTAATATTTTGGCCCATAGATAGATCTACTTGTAATTAGAGTGTCCCGAAAATTTCAGCTCAAACGAACGTTCTCTTCGCGAGATATTGAATTTCCAAAAACCATGAGATTCTCGAACCTTTTGCGGAATATGAGTGATTTTTAGGAATCCAATATCTTGTGAAGAAAACGGGTATAACTCTGTAGTGAAGGTCTAAGATCACTTTGTGTTTTAGAGTTTTTAGTATCTCACTGAGATCTACCTTATGTACAGAGCCCGAACTCAAAAACAATTTTCTAATTAGAACAGCTTCCTCGCTAGACAGATCGGTATGCAATGGAGCTCGGACGTCGAAGATGCATTGAGCATTTGCATAGAACCTTATGTATTCTTTGTTCAAATAACCTTTAAGATATATTTCTTGAATACATTCATAAAACGACTTACATGAATCACTTATAATTAAAATTCAATTTATTTCAGCTGGTAGTGATGCTGCATCAATAAAAGCAAAAGCTGAACTATCATCCGATGGTCAATATTATATTTTAAATGGTACAAAAATCTGGATATCGAATGGTGGTATTGCTGATATATTTACTGTATTTGCACAAGTACCAACAATAGATGATAAAACAGGTCAAAAACAAAATAAAATGACAGCATTTATTGTCGAAAGAAAATTTGGTGGTCTTACACATGGACGACCAGAAAAAAAGATGGGTATTAATGCATCAAATACAGCTCAAATTTTTTTTGAAGATTGTAAAGTTCCTATTGAGAATGTACTTGGTGGTGTTGGAAATGGTTTCAAAGTAAGAAAAAGAAATGTTAATAAACAAAAAATGATTTATTTCATTTAATGGTTTAAAGGTTGCTGTAAATATTTTAAATAATGGAAGATTTGGTATGGTTGCTGGTTTATCAGGAACAATGAAAATGGCTATTCGAAAATCGATTGTAAGTTTTTATTAAGGATATCTTCTCTTTTGATTGCTGTTCAGAACTTTTCAAAAAACCTAATCTTATAGAGCCTCTAATGCAAAAAATCATGTTCTAAATCTTATTCAGTGAATGATCTATACTAAACCAGTTATTTCATTGTCTCGAAAAAAAAATACATCCTATTCTTTCACGTTTTTCTTAAAACCAACTTTTGAAGAGAAAAATCGAAAGTTCCATCCTGACAATCCAAACAATTTTTTTAGACAACTTCCATCAAATCAGGATATAGGTTTTTTTTTGATTTGAAAAAATATTGTATCCTTGAACTTCGAAAAATACTCAAAAATCAAATTTCTCACAGAGTGCTCTCAGTATTTTACTCTCATTTTTAATAGCTCGATACTTTTTGAAGACAACCTACAACCTAATTTGGTTTTAGTTGTTACATAAAAATGAAAAAAATTTCCGAGCAATGTTGGACAGAAAATTTCAACCCATTTTTAGTTCATGCATTTCCTATATCCCATAGAAGGAAGCAGAAATCAAAATTATTTCGTTTTACTTTTATGCTTACACATCTTCTATAGCTGTAAGAATATTTTAGTTCCTTTTAGATATAGGTGCAAGAACACGCACATTCAACCGAAGCTCAAAATGACTAAAGGTTGAACAATATGAAAGTCATAGTAATTTTAAAAGCATAAAAGTTAAATTGGATAGATTTAATTTTTTGTGAACTGCTCATACTTATCGAGATACTTTTTACCGCAAAAACTTAAAAATTTCTCATGAAGTCGTTCTTGAGAAACTTCGGAAATCGAGATGTGTTCTTAAGAAAAATCGATAATATGTAGAAAATACTTCATAGAATTTTGCTAAAAATCGTCGTCAATTTGGGCGTACTATTGATACATATGGTAATATTCAAGAAAAACTAGTTCGAATGGAAATGCGACAATATGTTACTGAAAGTATAGCTTATCTATTGGCACAAAATATGGATCGTGGAATATCAGAATATCAATGTAAGAATTGTTTTATTTATTTATTTATTTGTTTGTTTGTTTGTTTAAGTTTTTTATTTAATTTTATATTTATCGAATTAGAATTTTAGGTGAAGCAGCTATTGGAAAAATATTTGCATCTGAATCAGCATGGTATGTACTTGATGAAGCAATACAAATTCATGGTGGAATGGGTTTTATGAGAAGCACTGGTCTTGAACGTGTTTTACGTGATTTACGTATCTTTCGTATATTCGAAGGTGCTAATGATATTCTTCGTCTATTTGTTGGTTTTACTGGTTTACAATATGTTGGTTCACATTTACGTGAATTACAAAATGCTGTTAAAAGTTTTAATTTAAATGCTATTGTTGGTGAAGGTTCAAAACGTATACGTCGAAATATAGGTATGTCAACAGGTCCAAATATAAATGAATATATACATTCATCACTTCAACCATCTGGTTTACTTTTATCAAAATCAATTGATCGTTTTGGTCCAGCAATAGAACAAGTTCTTATGAAATATGGTAAAGCAATACGTGAAGAACAATTTATTGTTCATCGTATTGGTGATATTACAATTGATTTATTCACAATGGCAGCTTGTT